CATTCCTCTTCTAGTTCAACCTATCTTTATTCCTCTCACCCCCCTCTTCGACCCCAACTCTCCCTTACTCTCCCCTCCTCTCTTTCTCCTCACTCTCCCCCTACACCCTTTCTCTTTCCCTACCACCCTTTCTCACCCCCCCTCCCACCCACTCTCCTCTCCCCAACACACACTACACTCTCCTTCCCCACTCTCCCCTCCTCTCCTCACTCTCCCCGCCTCTCCTTCCCCACATTTTCCTTTTCCCTCCCACCCGCTCTCCCCCTCCCCTCCCCCTCCCTCTCTCTCCTCCCTCCTCCCTCTCTCCCTCCTTCTCTCCCCCCTCCCTCCCTCCCTCCAATGCGTGTAGGGGTGTTCCAGCCTGACCTTTGCCGCATATGCCCCTCCCTAATTCCCACTACGACTCCCCCGCTAGTGTGTTGTGGTGTGTTACCTCGCTAATGAGGCCGTGATGAGGGGGAGGGGAGGGCGCCTCTTGGTCTTAGAGTGTGGAGGTCCTAGGGGAGGCGGAGGGTCTCGTGTAGTGTTGGTCTTGGAGGGGTGTGTCGTGTAGTGTTGGTCTTGGAGGGGTGTGTCGTGTAGTGTTGGTCTTGGAGGGGTGTGTCGTGTAGTGTTGGTCTTGGGGGTGTGTGTCGTGTAGTGTTGGTCTTGGAGGTGTGTGTCGTGTAGTGCTGGTCTTGGAGGTGTGTGTCGTGTAGTGCTGGTCTTGGAAGAGGTTTGGAGGGTTCACCTCTCCCAAGAGTCTCTCATAGCGGTAAATGAGCCTTGAGGGGACGTGATCGCCTTCCCGAGGTCCTCCATGGAGGTACAGTATGGGGCTGCCGGTGGTCCCTTACACTGGGGGGTGGGGGTCTTGGCAGGCGGAGAAGTCCCCCTCCATCTAACCCTCCCCTCACTGGCGCCAGGGGAGCCATGAACTCCCTCAGTTTTTGGGACCGATGCCAGCAAGGAAGCCCCCCGCCCCTCCCTCCCACGATTTTGGTTCAGCAGTTGGCCGGGCTTGGGCGATTTTCGTAATTTGTCGGCCTTTTGTGGAAACTGTCGTGGGTGCCAGTGTGTTGTGTGTTTTGGCTGTCAGCTGTTTGTTTTGGGCGTCAGCTGGTCCCCAATGCCCGAACTGTAACCCGCACCATGATTGGTGGACTGACACACTCCTCTGCCACTGTCATAGTCACGGGAGGTGGAAGATGGTCGACTCAGTAGGACTTACATTCTGGCGAAAGTCCAAACAAGTCGGATGTAAATCTTGATCTGTGATTTTACATTTCCTTCCGTTCTATTATTTTTCTGAGAATTTTTATACGGAGGGAAATTCATTTCTTCTTGTGGAGCGGGAGGGAGTTCCAGGTCAGCGTCAGAGAAGTTTACAATGATAATATTGAATTGTCTTTGAAGTGTGAAGGGCGCGGTGGCCTTGTGTGCTTGCTATTGACAAGCGCGGGCGTCGACATGTCAGGAAGATACACGTACAGACGCTCATTGGGTTGGTTACTGAGACAAAAAGAATCAGTCAGTCTCAAGTAGTCCCTGGCAATCTGTCAGTCAATTAATTAAAAGTAGACAGTCACAGTCAAGCAGTGAGCCATTCAGACAATGAGCCAAACAGGGATTCATGCAGACTAACAAGCGGTAATAGTCAAACAACGAATCTATCAGACATAGACAGGCTCAGTTACAATCAAACTGTTTACATTTTAGAACTGACAGACAGACAAGAGTGAGTAAGGGGAGGGAGGGTGGGGAGACCGGTGGTGCCTGGCGGTCTGGGAGATGGCAGAACTAATAAAGTTGGTGGTGCCTCAGCCTCCACCAGCCGCTGGTGCTGCTGCCAGCCCGAGACGGGGACCTGCCGCTGGCAGTGAGAGGCAAGAACTCGTCGTAGGTTAGGAATGAAGTAAGGTCCTCTAGGATAGTCCAATGTGAGGGTGATGCGAGGAGGTCAGGGATAGTTCAGTGTAGGATAGTAATGGCTCTCCTTAGGATAGTCCTTTTAGGTTAATTCAGGATATCGCCAGTGATATCGTACAGAAGGACAGGATAAATGAATGGTTTCTGAATACTGTCAGGGATAGTCCACTCTAGCCAACCATATTAAATATAACATTCTTGGGGACATCGCTGGGGCCGGTTTAAGGTGTCCACGTTTTGTACAGTTACCACACAACCTCCATATATACTGATAGTAGGCAGTGGGGAGCTTTGTCTTGGCCTTTTTCAACCACTGTCCTTTCTTTATCCATTATACATGTAGAGGAGGGAGGGGGGATAGTCCTAAAGGCCCTGTAAACTGCACCTCTCTTGTTACCATTAAAGTTACGTCTTCTTTGGATAGGTAATCTGGACTTGTGATTTTATCCAGGCGTTTCGTCCTTCCTATCCCACCCTTTCTGCGTCTTCACACTCTCCATGGGTGGAAAGTGCGACTGCAGTTTCCCCCTGGCCATCCGTCTCCTCTGTGTCCAGACCTCTCCACGGGTTCCAGTGTTTGATATTCGACCAATCAGTGGCGGGGAGTTGGAGGCCTCGTGGGTGCTGGTTCAGTTATCCCCGGGCAAGTGGCGGACTGGCGGGTGTATAAAACTGACTCCCGTGTCTTGATCTTTCTTGGCCAGGAATCACCAACACGATTCTCACACATTCCCGCCTTAAACTAGGGGGATCATGCAACTTAGTTAAGGCAGTTCCAGTGTATTGTGACCACCATTTCGGTACAGTGGCTGAAGTAAGTAATCAAGTTAGGATGTGATCTCAAGACCTCACTTACAGGGGAAAATTGAATGTGCGAACCTTTGAGACGATCGTTCCAGGGCCTTTCCAGACCCCGAGGTTTATAATGATAGTTAACCGGAAAAGCACACCACTGAAGGCAGCGAGTGGGCTAACGTTCGTCTGGCGTATCATAATACCTAGGGTGGTGACGGAGCCTGATAACGTTAGTCCGAGATTCCCCCAAGAATATTATGATTTGTCCTTCCCATAACTAGATATGACACGGGGGTCAATGGTGTCCTAATTACCCCTTCTCTCATCCATAGATAAGAGAAAATATTTTTAAATTGGGATCTTTGAGAATCCTTCCCCCTCCTTCCCCCTCCTGGAATGGGATATGGTGGAGTCAGCTGGATGGTGTGGGATGTGGTTTAGGGATAGGGTGGTGTAGGGTGTGGCATAGGGTAAGGCGGAATCGGATGGTTGGGCTGGGATGGATGAATGGGTGATGGGATGTGGTAGGAGGGAATGGGGTACAATGGGTGATGTGGTAGGAAAGGATGGGATGGGTGGAATGGGTCAGTTCCCGCTGTGTGGGTTTGATAGAGACCACTTTGTAACTTAGTTTTGTATTAACGTAATTCAGTTTTATTTTTATCTTAAGTGTTAAGTATATAATGTGTTAATTAAGATCACCTGAAGATTAGACATCCCCAGCTTATTTCACCTGATAATTAAACAGTTGAACGCTACCTGGGGGGTTATATTAGGTTAGGGTTCGGTTAGGTTAGATTAGGCCAGGTTAGCTTTGGGTCAGGTTAAATTAAGCCAGGTAAGTTTAAGTTAGCTTTAGGGTGTTTAATTACACAGGTGAAATAAGTTGGGGTGTCTAATATTCAGATGATCATATTATTATCATCATCATCATCATCATTATTATTATTATTATTATTATTATTATTATTATTATTATTATTATTATTATTATTATTATCACCATCATCATCATCATCATCATCGTCATTATTATTGTTATTATTACTGATATTATTTTTCAGTCTTGAGGGAGGAGGCGTTTTTTTTACCCTCTAATACTGAAGAGAGGAAATTGGTTGATCTCAGTGTTCTAGTGTTGTTGTTGTGTTTGTTGTGTGTTTTTGTTTACTTATTTACTTGAAGGCCAAGGGTTATAATCGACATAAATAGTATTATCTGGTATTATCCTGCTAGTATTTCACTCCCCTGTAGCTAGTAATAGAAATTATCTAGTGTTGTTACCTATATTTCACCGCCTATAGCTAGTAAATAGACATAAATACTATTAACTAGTAGTATTTTTGCTAGTATTTCACCCCCTACAGCTCGTAATAGCCATAAATATCATTAGCTAGTGTTGTAATAGAAATAAATACCATTAACTAGTATTATTCTGCTAGTTATTCATCCCCTGTATCTAGTAACATAAATATCTTGTCGTTTTGTGTATTTTGGTTTTGTTGTTGTGGTGACGTAACCCTTGTAGCTGGTGGGTAAGAGGGGAGTGTATTGAGTTTTTGTCCTACCGTCTGACGTTGATGAAGTGGTTTGTGTTATTGTGTCGCTTTTGGCGGGTGATTTTGTGTGTTTGTGGAGTAGCCGTGGTTTAACGTTAATTTAATTTACCTTATACTACGCTAGATTTAATGTAGTTGTTTGGTGATCTGATTTAATCTTGATTTTTACCGATTTTAGCCTTGGTAATATAAGTTAAAGTATCCTAACCTAAATAACATTAACCTAACCAAATTTAATCAAGTTTATTCTAACCACATTTAATCTAGCCTATGCTAACCTAACCTAAATTTAACCTAACTAGATCTAGCTTAATGTGAATTTAACCTAACGATATCTAATTTAGCATAACCCGAATTTAACCTAACCATATCTAACCTAACCTGACCTAAATTTAACATAACCTTATCTAGCTTAACCAAATTAGATCTAACCTAACCTAACCTGAATTTAATATAACTTAACCATAACCTTAGCTAACGGAATTTTTTTAAAGTTAATCTTAAGAATATGGATTTTATCGAAACCTCTGGAAGTGGTAACATAATAGGTGGGTGTGTCGGAGCCTCCAGTGATGTCATAGAGAGGCTGGAGGCGAGAAAAGGAAATTTAGTAAGTGGGTGTTGTGTGGTGGTCCATGGTCAGAGGCGGGCCAGTCACTTGTTAATATTTGATGTGGTCCATTACCCCCGTCACTGGCATAGGTACACCCAGGAGCACACACCCCCTCTTGCGTCGTCAGCAGCAACAACAATAACAAGAAGAGAAAGAAACAACAGCCGGAAGCAGCAAATGAAACAGCAAGAATTGAACAGCAGGAGGAACGGCGTTGCCGTCGTCATAAGCCACTGGAAATAGCAGGATCAGCAGCAGCATCTAGAAATAGCAGCGGCGGTAGCAGGAATAGCAGCAACAGCATCGACAGCAGCTGGGGCAGCAGCAGCAGCTTCCCGGGATAGTGGTGTCAAGCGGTGGCGGCGGTGGAGGTTCCAGGCAGCCTCCCCCTCAGTCTTTGGCTCCAGTCCAGGGCGAGCGCTCTCCAGGCCCCCGCTCCTGCCAGCCAGCTACCCAGCCCGTGGCGACCTCACATCTCCCGCTGGTGTCTTGCCTGACCACTTCCTATTATCACCTTGCAACACCTCGTTACTCATCCATCACGTGCTGGACATCCAGGCAGTGGATAGTGTGTTTTCCTGCCGGGCCACCAACACCCACACCGCCCCGGGCTTTGTGTGTCCAGCTGGACGTAGTAGTGTGACATTTCCCCCTGCAGCCACTCACACTCGTGTGGGTGACTGGAATAGACTGACCCACACTCGAGCCAATCACTCGTGTGTGGACTGTGACACTTACTCTGTGACCAGTCACTCGTGTGTGTGACTGGAATAGATTGGTTACCACCACGGGCAGCCACGTTCTCGTGTGGACTGTGGTGAGCGGGATAGACTGGCCAGCACTCAAGGGGCAGTCAGTGACTGGTGTGGTGGAAGCAGAGGTTGTATTCGAGTGCGGGTTAACAGTGTCAAGGGTCTAACATAGAGTGTTTGTCAGTGTGCTCAGAGGACCACAACGCCCTCTGGACAGCATCTTCCCTCTCCCTCAGTGAACAACGGCTACTACTGACCAGGTCGTCCAGCGGCTGGTGTGAAGGAACACTTCTTCCCTCCCTCAGTAGTGAAGGACCTACTCCTGTGCTACTATCCCTACATCCAGTCGTCGAGTGGCTAGTGTAAGTTACTGATACATACACCACTTCTCTGTCAGCCGAGAGAACACACTCTATCGTTCTCTCTTATCACCTATCTGTGAAAACTTGAGTAATTAGCGTAGCATCACCTCAGGGGAGTGAGGACCTTCCTCTAGTGCCCTCACCTCGCAACTGCCTTGCATCGTCCTCAGCTGGTGTCAGACGACAGAATTTAGCAGTGCCAATTTGGGGGTCGTGTGTGTGGCAGAAAAGTTTTACGGGGTTAGATAGTGGAGGCGTCGACCCACCATAAGTCACCTCAACTTAACCCATCGCCACTTTTATTAGTTTTAAGAGTTGAGGTCAGGCCAGGTCGTGGCCGTTGATATTACCCAGGGAGTGTTGTCTACCGCTGATCGAGGGTGACCCTGGGCAGGTTGACCTACACTAGGACATTGTTTCGTATCTTGGTGCCCTTAGCCAGGAGTCACCGCGACAGTTCTTAGTGGTAAGTACCTATAGTGTGTGTGTGTGTGTGTACGAGCAATTATGTGTACATCTGTGCGTGTTTGTGCGTACGAGTGTGTACGTATGCATTTATGCATGTATGTATGTATGCATGTATGTATGCATGCATCTGTTTATATGTGCGTCATCACGTTGCCCCCGGTGTCACTATCTTGGCACTTGACACATCTTCCACCCTAATATAAACGACGTGAATTGGGCGTTGTTTGCCCCCCGGAGGTTGGAGGGCAAGTTGGCCCATTTGAACTTTTATTGCCCTCATTATCGGAGTTTGGCCAGGAATGGATGACGCTCTCTCTTCTATTTGTTATTACATGTTGGTGGTGAACTTTACCGGGTGGGCGGCAGCGTCTTGTGGGTGGGTGGGGGGGATCACGACCCTCCAATGTCGAGTAAATTGTGGTTGTTGGTTAGTAATTTGGGAGGGATTGTGGTAGTAAGGTGGTTATTGGGGGGGATTGTGGTGGTCGTCGGTGGGGGCAAGTATTGTGAGTGTGTGTCTCTCTCTCTCTCTCCTCTTCCTATCTTCTCCTCTCCCACCTTCCCCTCTCTTCTCTCCCTCCTCATTCGCTCATCTCTTTTCACTCTTCTCTCCCCTCCACTATCCTCCCCATTCTTCCCATTACCTCTCCTCTTTCCTCTCACTTCTCCCTTTTCTCCCCCTCCTCTCTTTCTCTTCCCCGCTCTCCTCCCCCCTCCCTCCCCTACGTTCCCCTCACCATTCCTCACCCTCCCTCCCTCTCTCTTTCCCTCTCTCTCTCCCTCCCTCCCTCTCTCCCTCTCTCTCGTGTTGTCAGTAGATAGGTGTATAGTTTTATTAATGGATTGCAGTTCAGTAAATGGTGGTTGTCGCTGTATTTTATAATGAATATATCTTGTTAAATTGTTGTTGACAGTAAATTTTGGTGGGCTGGGAATTTTGGTTGGTGCTTGTTGGATAAATTGTGGTTGACATGAGGTTGTTGGTGGGATGGGAATTTTGGTTTGTGCTTGTTATAAATTGTGGTTGACATGAGGTTGTTGGTGGGATGGGAATTTTGGTTGGTGTTTGTTGTATAAGTTGTGGTTTAGAGGAAGTTGTTGGTTGACGGAAATGTGGTTGGTGCTTGTTGAATAAATTATGGTTAACAGGAAGTTTTGGTTTTCAGTTGAGGTATTTATTAAGTTAAGAGCTGAGCGCGAGGAGATATTGGCTGTCAGTCGCTGGCGGGGCATCAGGAAATGGTGGCTGTCTGGATGGCAGCTGTTTGCCGCTTGATGTGACCCGACTTGGCGTAGCTTTGCGTAGGGGGAACATGACCTGACTTAACCTAACCTATCCTTAGTAGATGTATGTCACCATATTTAACCTGACTTTGCATAGCTTTGCGTAGCGTAACCTGACCTAATTTCGTATGGCTTTGCGTAGGGTGACCTAACCTAACCTAATATAACGTAACTTGGCGTAACTGTGCGTAACGTAACCTGACTTAACCTAACCTGACCCAACTTGGCGTAGCTTTGCGTAACCTAACCTTATCTGACCTAAATTGATATAGCTTTGAGTAGGGTAACCTAATCTAACCTAACCCTGGTACACGTATGCGACCAAATTTTAACCTGACCAAATGTAACTTAACGTGTTTAACATGTTAGCCTAGCCTCGTCTTTTGCTCGTCTAACCTAACCCAGTTTATTGTTCCTCTGACTCAGTCTAATCCCGTTCTTTGGTTCTTTCCTTCGTTATTCGGTTCGTTCTTTTGTTCTTTCGGCCTTTCCTTAATTCCTCCTTCCGTTCCTTTGTTTCCTCCCTTCATTAGGTCTGTTTGTTCCTTCGTCAGCTCATCCGTTCCTTCGCCCGATCCCTAGTTCCTTCGTCCGTTCCTTTGTTCCTCCATTCATTCCTTATTCCGTTCCTTAGTTCCTTCGTCCGTCAAGATGGGGCGCCGACTCCGTCACTTTTATAACTGCTGACGATAATTAAACCGGATTCCTGTTCTTTCCCTTGAGACGAGTAACATTATTGAGTGTTACGTGTGTGTGTGTGTGTGTGTGTGTGTGTGTGTGTGTGTGTGTGTGTGTGTGTGTGTGTGTGACATAACCTGGCGCCTTGTAAAATACCTGCTGATTAAACAAACTAAAAGCATCTGCGGTGTTTGGGTTGGATCAGGTGGAGTTATCTTAGGTTAGGTTGGCTTAAGCTTGGCTTAGGTTAGCTTAGCTTAGCTTAGCTTAGCTTTGGTTAGGTTAGGTTAGATTAGATTAGGATAGGACAGGAAAGGTTGGGTTAGGTTAAGGGGGGTTAGGTAATGTTAAGGAAAGATAATCAGGTTAGTTTAGAAAAAGACAGATTAGGGTAGGTTAATTTAGCGTGGATAATCCTTATACGAAATAAGCTGGGGGGGGGAGGGTAGAAGGCTAATCTAAAGGCAATCCAACCCCCACCTCCCTATAAAAAAAAATAGTTTAATATTTACATAAACATCAACGGGACCAACTCTTACCTTCTCGTGGAAAGTTTGTTGCTAGTTTTTACCTGGAAAATTACCTGAGGAAGAGAGTGAGAGTGTGTCTGTGTGTGCGTGTGTGTGTGTGTGTGTGTGTGTGGTCCAGACATTCACTTTTTACCTCCACAAGTTTCCCCCCGCCACTGTGAGTTTTTTCCTGTTATTTCTTGTTTATTGTGTCGTAAATGTGTTGAATTGTGTTGTAACTTGATTAACTCCTCGAGTCCTGAAGGGTTAAATTATCGTCCTCAAAGGGTTAAATTATCGTTCTCAAAGGGTTAAATCTTCGTTCTCAAAGGGTTAAATCTTCGTTCTCAAAGGATTAAGAGGTGTTCCAGACCCCCAGGAGCCGTTTTTGAGGTCCATGATGACGTGGTTGTATGGGGTGGCGTGGGTTGTATGGGTCGCGCCTGGGGCATTCCGAGTTCACCCAGCTGTAAATGGATTCTTTACACACACACACACACACACTCTCTCTCTCTCTCTCTCTCTCTCTCTCTCTCTCTCTCTCTCTCTCTCTCTCTCTCTCTCTCTCTCTCTCTCTCTCTCTCTCCTCTCTCTCTCTCTCTCTCTCTCTCTCTCCCTCCTCCCTCCTCTCTCCCTCTCTCTCCCTCTCCCTCCCTCTCTCTCTCTCTCTCTCTCTCTCTCTCTCTCTCTCTCTCTCTCTCTCTCTCTCTCTCTCTCTCATATTTCAGTGTGGTTATAATTGTTAAAATCTGTCATTAATGTTTTTACAATTGTTAAATTTTAATATATTGTAAGATTGTAAAAAAAAAATAATTGACGTGGTTGGGATCATTAGAATTATTTGTTTACGTAAATGGAGTGGAAATTATATATACATACGATAAACTAAGACTTGTAAATAAAAGTTTCATTCGTGTGGTTTTATGATCATTTGGGAACGTTACACGAATGATTGAAATATTAAATGTTTTATTAAAATTAGAAATATTGAAGTGATTACCATTTAAATCTATTTCATTAACGTGATTAGACTTGTCAAAATCCTCCATTAACGTGGGTAGGATTATGTATTGACGCGTTTAGCATTGTAAAAATTTTTCATTAGCGCGGATACTGTTGTCAGCAGCATGTTAGGGGGACCTGTTCTTTATGGCAGCAAGAGTATTATTATGGCGGGCTGAAATCCTCCTCCCTTGTGTGTTGGTGTTCCTGTTGGTGTCTCTTGTGTTCCTGTTGGTGTCATTTGTGTTCCTGTTGGTGTCATTTGTGTTCCTGTTGGTGTCATTTGTGTTCTTGTTGGTGTCACTTGTGTTACTGTTAGTGTCACTTGTGTTCCTGTTGGTGTCACTTGTGTTCCTGTTGGTGTCACTTGTGTTACTGTTGGTGTCATTTATGTTACTGTTGGTGTCACTTGTGTTCCTGTTGGTGTCACTTGTGTTCCTGTTGGTGTCATTGTTTGTGCGGGTTTTTCTCTTCCAATTTGGCCGTGAAATTATTTGCGTGTAATCCAAGTTCGCTGGCGTGATTTTTAGGTTTGCTTGTGTTGTGTATTGGAAGTTTGTGTTGCTGTTTGATTCCAAGTTTGCTGCTGAAATAGTGTTTGTTTTGAGAAGTTGGTTTGTATCACAGATTCTAATGTCGATGAGATGTTTGTGTTGAGTTTGTGTGTGTGTGTGTTTACTGTTTGTTATATACGCTGTGTTGTTTGTAACTTCGCCGACAATATATTGATTATTTTGTTTGTGTTTCTAAGTTAGTGGACACATTGTTAGTTGAGTGTTTGTTTTCTTTACCGAGAACAAATATTGTTTGTTTGTTTGTCATTCTTTGGTGTTTCAGAAGTCTGTAAAGAAAATATTGTTATTGTTTTGTTGGTTATATTTTGTTATTCTAAGTTTACAAACAAAATTCTCTCTGTGTTTAATGTGTATTGCACTTTGTAGTTGTAAATTTCTGGACAAAATATTACTCGTATCTCCCAGTTTTGGTCGTATCTGTCTTGTGCCTCAAAAAAAACAATCACACTTAATTGAATCAGACTTTTACGTAAAGGTATTTTGT